TTCCAGTATAAAATACCACCCAAAACATTAAGCGATACTAGCTACAAACCTTGTCATGTATCTGGCTGCAGAGAAGAGAGAGAAGAACAAAGTTTTGATTAAGAAGCTGAAGAAGAAAGAAAAACGGCCTTAAGGTCAAAGGTCTTCAGTTAAAAATAAGAACAAGGCCTACATGTAAGTGAAACAAGTAAAAAAAGCTAACAATACAAAGACTGATATAATACAAAGAGCAGATGGAAAACAAAATCAGAAAAGGACCAGAAATTAAGAGACAGAGTAGGAAGCAGACGTTCCCTTTCTCACGTTATGTAGGAAAATGGTTTCATAAATCCACTAATTCACACTGGTTGCAGCTAGCAGAGTTCACTATTATTTTCTGTGTCAAGACATCCAGATTCATTTTCACCAGCCTTTGGCACAGCTGTTAGGAGTTAAACTTGACATTTGTTAAAACTAACAACAGGACTCCAGTCTCAAAATCTCCTCGCAGCACTTGCAGCAGATAGTCTGTGGACTAAGGCAAGAAATAAGGCAGCAATTCCCAAATTATGGTAGAGACACCACTAACAGTTCCTAATGTTTGTGTTTCATCTGCTTGATTCAATTTAGTTCTGGATGGTGACATGCCAATTCATGAGCAGGTTGGGAGTCAGTAGACCAGATCATAAAAAGACAAAAAAGTCTCCATCAAAGATCTCTTTACTCCTGTAAAGGAGAGGCAATATACATGTACACCCTTCGTATAACACAAGTCCTACTGTGAAACAAATTTCATCCAACCTCCTTCCAGAACATAATGAACTGCTAGTAGCCACAGTCACCGTTTGTAATTACATGCACAGAATTTTTCAAGTACTTGTAATTTATTCCTCATTACAGGAGCTCTGATAAAAACAACCAAAAAACCCCAACGACATTTGCATGTGATTGGGAATTTACCAGTTAATGACTTTGTGTCGATGTGAACTTTTTTGTGCTTTTCAAAATATTTTTGCACTTTCATTTCGAGGTTATTAACTTCTGTAGCATATATGTTTGATAAGGGGGAAAGGGCTGTACTGTAATGGACACATTTCTTTGTGGGTTGTTGTTTTTTTTAAGACTAAACTGCTGATTTTTTGCTGAGCTTGCAACATGACTATCTTCCAAACGTAAGGCTATATGCATAATCACTGACATTCACCTCTCATGTTAAGTAGCGGTTTAGGAAAACTGAAATCTTTCAAGCCTTTAAACTCCAAACTCCTCAGTTATGTTTAAAAGAAGCAACCGTGTCCACTTGCCAGAGGAACGCTTCCTTTTGTTTGCAGTCAGCATAATTTACTAATGTTTTCATAATTTACCAATGTTTTTTCCAACAGTTGCATGGACAAAGAATTAATACCAGCATTTTGAGTAATAGCAGTGTGAAGTTATTTTCACTTCCTTGACCCTGAAGCTACTCCAAAACATCTGCACAAACCAAATTTACATAATTAACATGTTAAGACATTAAGAATGGCATGTCCTCTACTTCAAATAGCCTTTCGCACCTTGAGGAAGCTACTGTGAAAGACACCAAATCTGCACAAAGAGCTTTAACTAAAAAAAGAACCTCAAGAGGACTACCTGAGGCACACTGCAATTTAAGCTCCTTAACTCCCTGTCATTATGAGCTTTAGTGGCAGAAGCATTTGTAATCTCCAGCCAAGAAGGCACTGCTCAGCTTGAATTTAAAGGCAAGACAACTTCTGTAGAAAGGAATCAGATTACCGGAAAAAAAAAATCTGAGGCATAATTGAAGCAAACAGTGAAGTGAAGAAAAGGCTGAGAGTCAGAGAAACTTTTCTGTCTTTAAATAATCTGGTGAACAGGCAGAGTACTAAGAAGGACAAGCAGCAAAGCACTTCAAAATAGACTAGAACTGTCATCTCTGAATTCTTTCCTCATGCTCCAACTTGTCTCCAGAGTGGCACAGGACTCCTGCAGAAATGACAGCACAGACTGTGCATCTGGTAATTTTGCATTTGGAAATTGATTGAGACTCACCACCTATTATTATATGCGTTATTGTATGCATTTTTTTCCTTATGTTACTTCCTGACTTAAAGCCTTATTTTCCAATTCAATCCTATTTTTTCAGATGTACATGTCAGGAATCCTGTACTTTCAGTTCCTCAGAGATATGGTATGGCTTCAAACACTGTTAAAGATATACTCTATCCAGCTGAGGAAATTTAAACCAGGAGTTCTAAGTGAAATACTCACTTAGATGCATGTCCTCTAGCAACTACTGCACCTCTGAGAACCCTCTTTCTTTTTACTGAAGGACTATGAAAGAGATCGAGTTTTAAGACTTCCCTGAATACAATGAACACTGAGTGACTTGCAGCTACAGACAGTGCCATTACAATTAATCTCAGTTGTTCCCTATGTGGTGATTACAGAAAGAAGTATCACAGAAGGATGTGCAGCTGGACTCAGCAACAGGGAGAATAAATTCACACCGGTAATTCTGAGTTGCAGACACCAGCCTTCTGCTTTGATTGAGGGAAAACAGGCATGCTGAGATTCCCAGCTTTTTCTTAAGGGAACCTGGTAGAAATGGTATGAAATAGGTAAATTGTCTGAGGATTCAGAAATAGTTTTACTCACCTTCATTCAAGGAAGAAAACTTGAGAATTTAATACTATATTAGAATTAAAAGCTAATCCCAAGACGACAAACTGTGTAGAGTAAGACTGAATTATCCTCAGCTCCTCTGTTGACAACAAACTAAAAGTCTCTGTAGGTTGTAAACAAGGTCAGAGAGAACTTCAGGGGACTAAGTCCTACAAACGAAACTGCACTAGGAAGGAGAAATCTAGGTATATAAAAAAGCTCCCAAACTATAAAACCTCACTTGACATCAGTAATTGGAGACTGGGGAAATATCATACACAATTGTTCTTCAACTTCCTTGGGAGTCTGCTCAAGGCTGATGGGTATTTTTTGGTTCTATTTTTTCAAATCTTCAAAGTGAAGCCCCAAAACCCAGTACCCAAACCTAAAAGCGTTCCCCAGCACAGCAATCTATCACAAAATGCAAAACACACATGCTCTGAAAAGAAACTTTATGGGTGCTGTTGAAGTTGGGGCACTGAGTGAGAACAGTAACATCATTCTCAGATCTAATGCACACTTTTACTGGAATCAGCTCAGATGTTTTCCACAAAAAGTTGAAGAAGCCTATATAACAATTTGAAATATATATATATGAATATATTAGCAACTGGATAAAAACAATGAACTATGAAATAGCCTTTTTTAAATATTTAATTTCTGTAATAGACTTAAGGGAACATAGCAAACCAGTAAATGTATCTATTTTGATATTGACAAAACTTTGAGATGCTCAAAGAGTTCCAATTTCTTATGGAAAATTAAAATGAAAAGGATTACCTGAAGAATGCTGCTGTAATTCAATTAAGAAGCACTGTATACTCCCACTTTCTTTCCTTTCACTGTCTTTTTTCCTGTTTCTTCTTCAAAAATAGCACAACTGTTAACCCTTTTCTTTTAAACTAGGGCAGCCTTTTTCCTGGAAGTGGTTTGTTTTCCTCCTTTGCCTTTTTTCTTCTTTTTATATCTTGCTTCCATCTCTCTGTCCTTCCTTTTCCCCACTTGTTCCCTGCTACCTACCTCTCTTGTCCCCTTGTCCTGGACTTCTTATTTCACTTTTACAGTGGGTCCCTGAATTTTCCCTCCTTCCTACTGCTTGCATGCAGAATAGGCAATTAATACTGCAGATGATACAGTATTAATTGCTTCCCGAGTTCTTTCTGTAATGTATGTCCACCCCTCTGACCTGAAAAACACATTCACAGTGATACAGTGAAATTAATCTCTGTAACTGCTGCTGCCACACATTACCTACACTGCTTTGTCCATTTTTGGTGTTGTTTTATTGTTTTGTTTGTTTGGGGTTTTTTTTGGTTGTTTGTTGTTGTTTTTTTTTTTTGTTTTTGTTTTTTTTTTTTTTTTTCTTCAATCAGGTGTAGTATGTAGACATATTGTTAAAATGGTTTCTTTCCAATGTGGGTAGGACCACTGAACTGAGAGGGACTTAAAAGTGAACAAATACTCCTCACATTTGTTCAACAACAGAGTGAGGGATAGAACACTGACCGAATAGAGAAGCTCATCAATGCCCAGTCCCACGCTAGGTAGGAAACTGATCACAGTTATTGACATCTGGTTTCCAAATCTGATGATATACTGTTATAATGTTCACTGTTCTGCGAGGGATGTGCTATCACACTGACTGCTAATTACAGGGCATACTTTGACCAGAGGTATTGCAGAGATTGCAGTACTGCTGAAAAATTAGAAAGCTGTGAAGACTTTGAGTAGTTAACCTTACCTTTTCACATAATAACACACAGCAGGAAATACAAAGACAAATGCCTCCTATGCATTGTGTATGTCCCGCACTGAAGGATAAAGTGAGAATTTACATGATCCCGCTCATATCATCCTATTTTTGAAGCATCCCTTTGTTTCTATTAATGTACTAAAACAAGTTCCAGTGAAGAAACTGCTAGAATGAAGATCAGTGAAGAAGGAAAAGGTGTCTCAAACAAAGACATCTGATGGAATTTTTTGCACTCATTGTAAAGTTAGCCATTTTAAATAGGTAATACATACTATACATTAAAATTTAATGAAGATCTTAGCTGGGAACAGTACTCTATCATAGTTTCTCTTGTAAAAGAATGTTGTTACATAGTTCATTATTTACATGTCAGTATTTTTTGGTCTTTGAGCACTCTTGAAAATTTGTACAACCCTGATGACCAACAGTTGTCACCCCTACCACACACAGTTTTGTACTGTTTTGATGATTAGTAATTGTTTTGACGTATTAGACCATATGGTTTGGAACTATAAATGGATTCTAACTTTAGGCCAAGAAGCATAACCTTGCTTATGGATACTCTTTAGCAGTAGTCGAGAACGGTATTTCAAAATGCTTACCTTGGCTACATAGGCTTCAACCCTGTTTCTTGATGATAATGCGTTGGGCTTAGGAAGCTTCCTCCTAGACTTAGACTTCTGTTCAGTGCCAAACTGTTGCCAAGATGTCCCAGTTCAGTTGAATACAGAACTGGACTTGCAGCCAGACCTCCACTGACAATGCTGCTCGTGATTAAAGATTTGCTTCTATGGCGCTCCTGAAGGAGCTTAGCATTGGCTTCTGCTAGTCTCTCATTAGCTCTGAAACATTCAGAAGCATACAAAGAATTATCTTTGGTAGTAACATTTTTGCAAAGTTACCCTCCAGGTCTTTGACTATTATTTGACTTCTGAAAGTAGAAGGGATTAAGAGCATCCAAAGCAAGAACATAATTTGAACCCGGGTTTTTTGGAGAGCCTATTTCTAAGAAGTCACACTACCTGCAAGGAGCAGCAAGGGTTATCAGCACTTAGGACTTCTCAGCATTAGGGCTTCAAAGCAATCTGTGAATGCCATGTGTTTACATAGCTTCTTCTGAGAGCTATGTTACCTGCATAAGAACTCTGCGCTACCCTCCCTTTCCCAAGGAAAGCTCAAGCTTCAGACATGCTGTTAAAATGGAAGGCAGAAGGAATTTTTTTTTTTTTTTTTGCTTCACTGAATTAAATTCTGTTCCCTGAAGGGCCTACTGTTATTCAAGCTGTAAGAGGAGGAGATTGGCAAAAAGGCTGCCTGTTAAAACACAACCAATGCAAAAAATACCCAATGCATGCTATGATCAGTGGTGTTACTGCTGGAACACTAAAGAGAAATGAAGACAGTTCTAATGAAGGGGAAGGGTCTTCAGGTACTTTCCTCACAAATATGCCATTTTATGCTTGCATACATAATGCTGACCAGATGTAGAGGAGAGATTTTAGGAGGAAAATGCATGAGAAAAAAGTAGTATCTTATTACCACTCCAAAAAAGCGTGGACTTACTTTTCCAGTTTATTTGCTAGGCCTCTTCTGATTTTTACTTCCTCCAGATATAGCTCTTTGTACCTTTCCACTTCTGCCTGCGTGGATTCTTTTTGAAAAATACTGTCTTGTTGGGTATTTTTTATCCTGTCCAATTCACATTCAAGATCTTTAATTCTGTGTTTCAGCTGGCTTCTCAGTGAAGCATGGTGACTGGCTCTGATTTGTTCTAATCTGTCCTGGGAGGCTGCCTGCGTCTGAAGCAGATAGTGCACTTTCAACCACCGCAAAGAAAAAGAAAACTCTCTTGGCCAGTCAGTTGCATGTACTAATTTCAAGGGCCTAGCTTTACTCAGTGAGGCAACTGTGCCTCCTCACTACCATCAGCAGTCAAGGCAGAACCCTGGAACCACCATGTTAAAGAATTCTTTTTATTCAAAAAGAACCCTTCTCTTAGCACTATTATTCACCAAAGCTACTTATGAAAGAACACTATGTCTGCAGGACAGGGCATACAGAAAAGGATTCCTCAGAGAAATTATGAGGATCCCTCACCTCCACCCACCCCCCATCTCCCTCCCCTGCAACTTTGGTGACTTTCTTTCTGAGCACTTTCCTCTGTACAGTGACAAAGCAGGACCTGTATGTCTGGCCATGACAACTCTAAATTGCGATACCCATTCAAGGATGAACAGCAAGAACAAGACCAGTGGACAGCGATACATCCCAAGAACTACAAAATGGAAATCTACCTTGGGCAAGCTTTTGATTTAGGGACCTGCAGGCACATTACGTACACAGGAAAGCACTCTTGCCCACCTATATTCCTTTCTCCCACTGCCCTTCAGGAAAGGCAGAAGTATAAAATACTAAAAAATGACGATGCCAACAAAAGTATATAACAGAGACTACAGACACAAGTGAGAAATTCATTTACCTGCAAAAACAGATTCACTTCTTGTAGTTTTTGTCTTATTTCTTGGTCAGCTCGTTCTTCCATCTCTCTTTTATATTGTTCTATTTGGCTGTGATCCACCATGTTAGTCTCCAAACGATATTTGAGGTTAGCCACCTTTTCTTTCAGTTGGCATTTGCTCTTCTCTAGTTTTTCATGGTTCCCACGCATGGTGGACAACTCTTCTCGCAAATCCTGATTTTGTGCTTCTAGCTGCATGCATTTTTTTGACTCTATCTCCAGCTGCTGGGAAAGTTCACCAACCTGTAGGCAGAAAAAAAAAAAAAAAACAAACCAAAACGGGAATGGAGAGGGATCTAAAATTAGTCAATTCTGTGAAAATCAGTAAGGGGATTGGCCACTGAGACTGTATTTGTCATCTGCTGATTCAGTATTAAAACCAAAGTGAAACCAGGTTCTTCTTTTAAAACAAGAAGAGCTTTGACATAATTTTTGATAGAATTCCTCAGGTTCCCATCCTTTCTCAGTTCTTCTGCAGTAAGTCACAGACCAAGAGGTACCAAACTAGCAGCACGTCACCCACAGAGCTAGACTGAAAAGTACTAGGGCTATTCCTCCGTGAGATGCTCACATGGTCATGGGAAATCAAACACACCCCTACCTAGCCACTTTCTGGTTTCATCTGAAGCAACATATATCATGCTTCACAGGAATTTTTACGTGCTGTCACCACAGTCAAAGCTTCATTACAGAACTGACAAGACAAGAAACAGATTCTTTTTTTCCATTACACTGAAACGTTTGTTAATAGTGGTTCAGAACAGAGTGTTTTCAAGCAGTGGTAGAAGATGATGTATTTTCTCTAGGTAAAAGCTGCAGTTTATTTTCAAAATTTTGCAGAAAATATCAGACTTTATATAGGTCCCAATGGTCAACTACAGCTCTGTCCTCCTCTTCCCCCTTCAGAAACATACCTTTTCTATACCTATTGAACACAAAACATGATGTCCTGTCTTTTATTAAAAAAAAAGTGGAGGAAACTAGCATAATAAACACGTGAAAGTCTCCAACAGAAAGAATAAACTTTAGACTTATTTAAAACCACCTAAATGTAATGCACTTCCCTGTCATTCAAAATAACTCTTACAACAGAAACACAAAAACGCTACTAACTTTTGGACTGAAAATGAGCCACTGCAAAGGCAGTTTACTCATTCTACAGTACCTTCTAATATGAACATAGTTCTGAAACATGGCTGCTTTAGCAACAAATCTGAGTAACGAGCAGAGAAGTAGATGAAAGGTTACACACTACTGAAGAGCCAGAGCAACCTCAAAGGCACTTCTGGGAACTCTCCTTCTGGGTCCTCATGACAAGGGAAGGATGGGCTGAGACAGTTATTAGTGAGCAGTAAGTAACAGAAATTTTTCTGCATCAGCTCACTGCGTCATGCCCTGGGAAGCAACGACACCATTTAAAAGAGCAAAATCTGAACTGTCTTTTGCTCATCTTGTGCCCAAGATGGGGCTCAAGGGGTGATCTTTGGCAAAGCCAACTTCATCCAGTTGTTCCAAATTATGGTGGTGTGTCCTGGGTTGAGTGAGAGGTGGAGTTTTTTGGTGGCAGGGGAGGGGGCTATCGGGGCAGCCCCCTGTGAGAAGCTTCTTGAAGCTCCCCCAGTTCCAAGCCAGCTCCACTTCTGTTTGGGAAATTGAGCCCATCAGCTGCGCCTCTGCGATAACGTATTTAAGAAGGGACGTGGTGACGGGCAGTGGGACTTGTGAGGAGGAGTCGCTGCAGCTGCATGAACACCAAGGTCAGTGGAGGAATGGAGGAAGAAAGGAGGGGGGAGGTGTGCCGGAGCAGAGACCCCCCTGTATCCTGTGGTGAGACGGCAGGGCGGCCCCCCCTGCCACCCATGAAGATCTACGGTGGAGCAGACATTGATTTACGGCCTGTGGCTTCTGCATGCCTGATCAAGGTTCTGTGCCCGAAGAAGGCCGGGGTCTCATGGAAAAAGGTAGCCCTGCTGCTGTAATTCAGCACTGGGAGGATTGCAGCATGTGGGGGTGTCCCACGCCGGAGCAGCTCGGGAAGGGCTGCAGCCGTGGGAGGGAATCCAGTCGGAGGAAGTTAGTGACCCATGACGGAGCAGTGTGGGGAACACTGCGGCCCATGGGAGGAATTCAAGTTGGAGAAAGTTTGTGGAGGACTGTCTCTTGTGAGAGGGGGACCACGATGGAGCAGGAGGAACAAGTTCCAGACACTCCCCTCACCGAACATGAAGGAAGTGGCAGCACTGACTGCACCCCCCATTCCCTGCCCCTGCGCCACTGGGGGAGGAGGTAGAGATATCGGGAGCAGAGCTGAGCCCGGGAAGAAGGGAGGGGTGGGGGGAAGGTGTTCTCAAGATGTGGCAATGCTTCTCACTGTCCTACTCTGTTATGTGTTGTTAGTGTCTGTAATAAATGTATGTTCTTTTTTTTCTTCCCCTAACGAGTCTGCCTTTTGCTCATGATCATAAAGAGGGATTTTTCCCCATCCCAGTCCTATCTCGAACCCCAAGCCTGGCTCTCTGTCCCTTCTCATTGCCGGAGGGGAAGGGAGAGAGAGCTGCTGCATTGTGGTTGGCTGCCAACCAGGCCTAAACCACGACACGGTGTTACGTCCCTCTCTTCCAGAGAAGGAATTAATCTGTTGGACCTAGAAGATGCTGCTATAGCCTCAAGCTGCAGCCAGGCCCGTGCCAGGCCACACTGCTGTCAGCCCTGACCCTCACTGCATGGACATGATGTCCTGGTTGAACTGCAGACCTGCCCATCCCTATGGATCCTCACGCTTAGCTGACCCTGCTTACTGTCACTGGACTTGTTCTGCTGCTCTTGGTGACGGCCTGTGGGACTGCTCCCTGTCCCGTGAGGTCACGGGCCCTGCCAGCCTTGCTGTGACTCTCAGCTCGCTCTTCCTCTACAGGACAGCTTGCCCCTGAACTGCTCTTACAGATACTGCTTTGCACATAAAATTTTCATCTTTACCCATAAAGATAACTACATCAGTATTAATTATAGTCAACTACTATTGTAACAGTAGAAGGAACATCAAGAAAAGTCAATCAATTCCAAAATATAACCAAGAAAAAAAAAAAAAACAAACACAACATGAAAAGAGGTATAGGGAAAGAGTAACACACGTTTCAAAAGAAAAACCACCACTACCAAAAAACTTCAAACAAACTAGTGCTCACCTTTGTTCTTAACCTATCAACTTCATTGACCATTTCAGAATACCTGTTCTTCATTTCTCCCTGCAAATTAAGCTGGGACTCTCTCTCCTCATATACCCTTAGTTTCTTCATAGCTCTGCTCAGAAGCCTCTTCAACCTGCACAGTAAATTAGTCAAGAAATCAATGAAGCAAAAGAACAACTGGCCTTTTTCACATACCCTCATGTAAAGAGCTCAAACACAGCTTGCTTCATCTTTAATGTGTTTGACACATGAGGAATTACTGAGAAAAAACAGCATTCCTGTGCCACAAGTCACTTGGAGGGTTCAAATTTCACCTGAAAAGAGGAATAAAAGCCTTCCTTCCCTTCCAGGAAAACTGCAGGGCAATCTGCATTTGCAGTTTTTTGTCAACTGTTGAAAACTATAGGCATGTGTACAGAAGCACCTTGCAAGAACTAACACAGGGCTTGAATTTGCTCACAGTTAGGTACACCTATTTTTATGTTAAAGTTCAATAAAGCTTGACTTCTACTCAGGGAAACCTCTTCACCATACTAAAAAGCCATACCTCTTACAGTCTTTCTGCAGTTCGATGTTTCTTTTCATTTCTTGGTCCAGGCGCAGTTCGACTGGGCGTTTCAACTCTACCAGCTTCTTCACTTTCTTTCTTCCATTCTCACACTTTCAAAATAGAAAAGATACATGACACACAGAGCATAGGAACAGTATCTCCATATAATGTGTGCATCTAGCATTCTCCACAGAGAAGCTGCGGTGTGTCTTTCTCTGTTAGCCAAGTTCCACAAAATGCCAAGGGACAGAATTCCTGAGAACATTTAAATCACTTGAGGTTTCATATCAAACAGGCCAATACCTAACAACAGAAACAGATGCCCCCACTGAAGCAAAGGCCACATTCTTCTAATGCTTCAAGGCAGAAAGGTGGAGAATATGCTGGAGAACACTTTTGGGAGCTCCTCTGCTCGTAACAGGGATTATGTAGGTATGCACATCACAGGAGAGTGTAAGTCAATTTAAAGCTTTCATGGGATCTTCAACAACCAGCAGGCAGGAGCTTGCGGAAGAATTTGATTTTTTTGAATTCTTCAGTGTTTTATTTTCCTTTGCCATTACCTCCATCTCTTTTTTGTGGGTATTCATTCACATGTTGTTCTTCCTCTTGCTGTTTTCTCAGCCAAAGCAAAGGAGAGCTGGCAGCTCGTTTGACTTTATACTTCAATTTTTCCTCTGTGAAAAAGGAGAAAAGGAAAAGACTGCCCCTTGGAAACTGGCAGCCATTTCTCCTTTCCCAAGAGCTAGTTCATTTGGTCAGAACTCCTTCAGTACGTTTTTCTGCAAGGCTTTTAAGCTTCTGCTACCCTGAAAACATGCAGCGGCTCCTCCAGACATTGCACTGGAAACATGAAGCATTTTAACCCAGTCCAGAAACCACAGGGTCAGAAGATGACCAGAAAGAATCCAAGGAAAGCACTGGGAAACTGCAGCCTTGCTCCGTGTGCTCAACTGATAGCAAGCCACACTGGGAACTCTTCCCAGCTGAACCACTCCAGAATTTACACAAGGATACCTAGCTAGCTTTTATTCACTTCATGGATGATCCCCAAATCACAAGATCCTCAAGACTGAACAGCAGGGGTAACAGAAGAAGCTGAGGATGTAAGAACTCGACAAAAAGGTAGACACTGTTCTCCTGGGTATTGGCTGGGTGTCTGGAGAATTTTCTGGACTTACCTGTTTCAAGAGCTCAGCCTTTTCCCTGTCAAGCTGAGCAACACGCTCTTCAAGGTGGGATCTTGACTTCAATTGCTCTTCCCTCATGCTATGCAAGTCCTTTGATGTCAGAGTCAGCACGTTCTGCTTTTGCATCTGTGAAAGCAACCATGGCAAAAGAAAAAACTACAGTGACCAGAAAGACAATGCTGCAATAGAAAGCGGAAACTGAAATGGAAACAGGCCTAAGCTCTCCCCTCCCCGTCCAAGATCTGTGGATAAGGTTAATGCGGAGTGTAATACACACCTCAGGAAACATGACTGAGAACAGCAATTGAAGCTGGTGGACAGAATGAACACCCTCGAAGCAACAAGGTTGCAACTTTGGGGGATAAGATGCACACGTACACACAGTCACCTTACAACCTTCTTCTAGAGTTCCTCTGAAGTTCATAATGATACATACCTTATAATATAATAATTCCTCTAACGCCTACCACAGAAAATACCCTACCTTCATGGCCTTTGTAACAACTGCACATGTCCTGAGAGCAAGGAAATGTTTTCAAATCGGCAGTGTTATTTATCCTTCTACCCAGAGGGACAAAGACTTGACTAACAGATATAATTGAGTGGAACAAAACTTGCTGACTTTGCTCAAGTATAAAGAATGCAAGATGACTAGATGCTTTTAGTGTCATTCTGTACAGATCTACAAAATGTCATGAAAACATGAGCACAAAAGCTTAGATAAAAAGTCCTCACCTCGGGGTGTATAACTTTCTCAAGTGTCCTTATAGAGTAGGTGAAACACTGGGTCTGATGAGAGAAGCTAACATGGTCTCAAGGGAAGCTGTGACAAAACTGCAAAGCTAACATGGATTTCCCAAGTCCAGTCTCCTCTCTCAGCTTTCAACTACAGATCCCCCTCCTGCCCACAGCACCAATCCTATCCATCATGTGCCATGGTTTAACTCCAGTAGGCAGCTAAGCACCACACAGCCACTTGCTCACTCCCCCCTGCTGGGATGGGTAAAGAAATCATCAAGCAAATCATGCTGATGAACACAAGTATCTTGCACACCACAACACAAATACAAAATACAGCTGCAGGGCAATGAGGAAATTTATAGCCTTTTCCCCTTAGGGTGCCTTGCCCTAAAACCAGAAAGATATTTGTCAGCTGAACTACACCTACACAGCCCACCTGATCTTTTCATCAATTACCTTCACACAAAAAATTCAAAGACTAAAACAGTCATTCACAGAAGCCAGTTATGTACCTGCTGCTGGTGGTCCTCTGCAGCTGCTTGTGTTGTTCGTAAGCCAGTTATCAAGTCTTCCAGGCGGTTATAAACCTACAGAAGCATTAAGAGAAGCAAGAAGACACACTATGACTTTCCAGACTGAAGTTTACACCTCATTACCAAAAATAAGTATTACATACGCTTCTTCATTCCTATAGTATTTATAGCCAGCACTGATGTTCAAAATGGCCTTAGTTTGATGCCAACGTAAAATTGTTAGCAATCATCACCTCTGCCATTTGCTTCAGGGAGAGAGAACACCATGTGGGATATAAAGAATCCGCAATGTAAACGGGCAGGAGTAGCTTTTCTCATTCACAGTACATGTGAAAATCATGCCCTATTAACCAAAAGCGAAGGACCAGCATTGTGTCTACCTTCCTTCTTCTCTTATCAGTACATCACAAAGTTCCACTTTCATATGTAGTTATTTTCCGAATCTCTTCAACACCAATTAACAAATAGAGTTATAACAAGCACCCTAGTTCACTAGTTCTAATACAAAAATAATTTGCTTTACACCGGCCACAGATGAAAGCACCTTATCTGAGCTAAAATTCACCACGGCGTAGATAGGCAGTGGAAATTCCAAGGCTCACACTGAGTTCTTCAAATGATACTATATGCATTCCTCTTCGTTCCATCAAAACAAACACACACCAAGTGGCCAAAGGAAAAGCAATTCTGCATCGCAAAAGCTCTGTGGAGTTTTCATTCCAGTCTGAGGATGCCAGTTAGGCCTCCGACGTGAAGCACTTGGCATCAATATCCCCTGTGGGATTTCTACACGTTAGCTTGATGAATACCTTTAATGATATACATTGCAACAAGTGTCTGAAGCAGCATCTGATGTCATGATGGGTCTAAAGAAGACAAGAGTTACACCAGCATCTGAGTGTCAAATCCCTATCTTTTGGAGTGTTGAGTAGGACTTGCTATAGTAGTGTGGGAGAACTCTGAAAACCAGAAACTAACCAGGCTGACGCCTGAGCAGACTCTATTCAGGAGAACGCAGGAACTGAGTTCCCCTAGGCTCTCCAGGACAACCTCATCTTACCATGCCCCTACAGAAATACATAACCAGGCGCACAAGAAGGGAAGTTCATGATCAGCTTACTGAGGCAGAAGCTTGCAGGTCTCTCTGAAGGGCTTCAATCCTATTGCTCTGTTGCTGGACTGTGGCTTCCAGTCTGGCATTTTCAATTTCGAGGCTTAAAAAGAAATACAGGTCTTATTACAGAAATCTACCAGAGCACCAGTTCTGAAAGAACAGTGTGGAGTAACATAATCTCAGACAACAGCATCCGTCAGAATCGGGTATTAACTTGCTGCAATGCACCAAGCCTATCCTGTTGTTATCACACAATCCCAGAAAGCAACAGACACCTTGCTTCAAGGTGTTACTCTCTTACCGTTGCACGTGCTCTTCCAGTTGTTTTATAGTGGTATTAGTCCCAGAAGATGCCAATAGGAGGTCCTGCAGTTTCTGGGAAGAAGCTATGACTTCTCTTTCCTTATTATCTAAGCTGGCCTTCAAGTCGTGAACACGATGCTCAGACTGAAGATGCTGTTCTTCCAACTCCCGCAACTGTAAAATTACAGTAAGAATCCACAGTCATCAGGTGAGCTTTTCTAGAGAGGAGTCACCTGCTGCTGAAGAACTCAAGTGCTGCATATATCTGTGCATACCCTCTACCCAAAGAAGGGTAATCATTGCAAGTACATTCCAACCTTCACTTCTACTTGCAGATGAACATAAACTGTGCTACTACATCATCTTTTATACTGGCCTCTCCCATTCCTCCACTGATCTCCTACAGCACTGTTCTAAGCACTGACACTGCCCCTCCTACCCTTTCAGTGTCTCGTGACACTCTTTGTATCCATATGTTTGCTTCCCCATGGAAGTATGAATTAAAAACCTCACCTTTCTTCTAAAGTGACTTCACAACACCTCAGAGAAAGAGATGAAGAGGATTTCTATTTCAGAACTCCGAGGCCTCTATACCTCAGTTTTCACAAGAATACTTCAAAAGGTGCTCCTCAATTCACTTGCAAGAAGGCCACTTAATAATGGCAAATAACACCAGGACCAAAGAAAGGGGAAAATAGGTGCCGAGATACTGCCTTAACTTCCTTAGATCTCTCTGCTACTGGCTCCCAGAATAGTTTTGTCCTTTTTCACGATGTACAGGAAGAAACAGCAACTCGCAAGTTTATTCCTACTGACAGGCTTTCCATACTTCAGTTTCAACCCTGTCCAACTCCTTTTGCAGGCGCAGCTTGTCTTCCTCCAGCTCACTGTTGTAGTTCTCAGTAGTTTCCAGTAAAGCCTCTGACACAGATTGCTTTTTAAGAGCATTGAGAAGCTCCTGCTGCAGCTGTGTGATCCTGTCCTAAAGAAATGTTGATAGGCGAGAACAAAGAATTGAGTAAGAACATGAGAATACAACCTCTGATTTTATGTCTAGGCTACGTAATTAGGTCAGTCTTCAGAAAGAATTCAAAGATAAGAAATGTTGCCTGCCACCAGCAGGCACCTTCAAAACTAATGACTTCTCTCCACCTTTCTCAGCTGAGCACCTCCATGCTACCAGGAGGAAGCAGGGGAAACTTCACTGCTTCTAGGCTATACTAGAAATGAAACTCACAGACCAGTTGCTATAAGACTCAGGTCACTAGCTTGACTTGCCTTTGTCCCAGTCCTTAATCAACAGCTGGCCTAGAGCACAAGTATTTCTAGGGCCTCCAGTTACAAATGTGTGTAATTTGGCAGCAGAAGAGGTCAATGAGCTCAGAGGTAAATAAGCCCAAAGGCAAGCAAACAAAGGGGGACCCCACAGCATCCCTCACAAAGTACCTCGAAATGTCTGGGAGATCTGGCACCTTCTTCCTGGGCTGCATCTCCCGCTGGCAGGGCAACTACAAAAGAGGGAAGAAGTGACACACTGTCAGCGTTTACCTCACTGTGCTTTCCCCCATCATCCAAAAGACAAGGAATGGTTCTGCTACAGGCCATAGCAATTCTCCTCATCAGCTCTTCTACAGCTAAGGAGCCTACCTGCCCTGTCCTGAGCAAGGGCAGCCCAGGTTGAGTCAGCAGTCCTCACAGGGCAGGAGCTGCAGAGAAATGCATTGTCTTCTGCACTAGCTGCAGAAGATTCTTCTGTATTTACGCTGTCCATATCTTCTAGCAGTAGCTTACTGAGGATATATACAGAAAGAGAGAAAAGAGAGTTGGTAAAAACAGCCACATCTTTGCATACACACTTGACTAGGACAGCAACAACCATTCCTTACCCACCCTCTCCATTTTCATTTTCAACTGGGAAATGATAGCGCACCCCCCACCACCTTATTCTTGCACTGCTATTACATGAGAAAATATTCGCTGCAGGCATGTTTGTTCTCTAGATGCACACTGGTATCTGTGAAGCACTTCAGCCCCGCTGGCTCCCATCTGATCTGATTAACAACCTCTCCATAGGGAGCACTACAAAAATTAACAAGCCCTCTGGCAGATTTCCATCTAACTGCAAGGGTGCTACATCCTCATGACACTACATTAATGCTGCAAGTATGCATATCAAGCCAGCAAATGCGACACAGTAGGCTGGGGGTCCTGAGAGAGACCTCTTTCAGGTTTGCTTTTTAACTGAAATTTAAAACCTCCCAGCAACAACAAAAAAAACCACTCGCTCAGACAAGGCTTCTGTGAAAAACAATGCATTGATGCAACATTTATGCTGGGGCAGAACACTGGAGGAGTAAGGAATGAAGGCCTTTCTTCCTAGAGTAATGCCCATCAAACATGCTTTATTCCTAAAGCTCTTTAGATATCAGAGTTTACCCAGGTGCCCTTCTCTCCAGCTTCCTGCCGATACAGGATACCAGAACGGGGCAAGGGGAGAAGAAATTCAGTGAGTGTTCAGTGACAAGTGGTTTTGGGCAGATGTATATGGGCAAGACAAGGCATGATCCTAGGGGTACCTCAGAAGCCGCCCTGCCAGAGACCCCCTACGAGAGTGGTTGAATTATTAAAAGTACAGCTTAAAGTCTATTCAAGTTTACTATCTGTGTGAAGCCGCTTTGGTATGCCTCCGTAACAACCAGTCACACAGCGAAGTCCTTCCATACGGCTGCTTCTTTTCCAAAGCTCATTCCCATGCCTCTCATCAATCACACCTGCAGACAGCTAAGGAGACCTACATGTCATTTTGACAAACCCCTCACCTTTCACACTGATCTTGAGCACACCTGTCAGCTCCTTTTTTTTGAAGAAGCTCTACCATCTCCTCATGATGTTTGGAAACAGCAAGGTTAAGGGGGGTATGTCCCTCCTGAAAGGATAAATAATCCAAGTTAGAAAAACACAGACAAGTTCAATGCCTTTTGAAAAGAGCAGCTTTACGGCAACGCCAAGAGCAGCTTTACCGAAATGCCAAGGTTACCTGGTTCTGAGCATCCATATGGGCATTATGCTCAAGTAACAGCCCTGCTACAGCTGTGTTAGGAGATAGGACAGCCAGGTGAAGGGCAGTGTTGCCATCAGCATCTACCAGATTTGGATCAGCACCATGCTCTAGCAGAACAGCCACACATTCTTCTTGCTGGCACTGTACTGCCTAGGAGCAACACACAAAACGGAAAACACTGCGGACGTTTGTGTTCCACTCACTCACAACTCACCCAGCTTCTGAACGCTGGGAATGAAGAGCGTCTTCAAAGATTAGCAAGCATTTGCCTATTGCATGCTGATTAGAAGATGCATGTTTCTACACAGGTCTGTGTAAAGAATCCTGCCAGCCACCTCCCATTTAATGCACTGTCGATAAGCCCTGCTTACAAGAGCAGAACATGGTCCACATACCTTCATCAGTGGTGATCTCTTGAAATTGTCGGCAAGGTTCAGCTGGCAGTTCTCTTGTATGAGAAATCTAACGACATCCACGTGGCCGTTTGCACAAGCGAGATGCAGAGGTGTCCTAAAAATTAAGCATACAAGCTTAACACAGATGGATAATGACAGAACCAAAGCTGTGTCACCACCCAGCGCTGGGGACCCTGCCCAGACCCTGCTCCTCCTGCTTGCTGCTGCTGCTGCAATCCTGCACCGAGCACCCACAGGGCAAAGAGAACTAGTGATGCCCGAGCAGCTGCAAAACCACCCAGCAGGGAGACCACACTGAAGTGCCAGGTCAGCCTCACGCACTTCCAGCAGCACTCGAGCCCACCCTGCAGCTACAAGCCAGGAAGAGCTCTAGAGTTCACACTCCCAGGGCACAGGGCAAATCTTGATTTTCAGGCCATTAGCTTGAACGGGATCCTGCACAAAGCCTGAAGGGCGGACACTTGCACGTGTGCACCCAAAACCTGCCTGGGGTGTGTGTGGGGGGTTAGTTGCACCATGCTGATGCTCCCGTGGGATCAGTAGGCTCTGCGTTGTAACACACTCCCTTTGCTTGAGAAAGGGCTGCTGAGGACTAGCAGGGCTTGGCTCAGAAGCTCCTGCAGCAACGCGTGCGAGGAGCAGCCAAGGTGTCCCATCAGCAGCCCACAGCCCCTCACCGCTTCTCCTTGTCTCGCTTGTCGATGCCAACACTCTTCACCCACCAGCGCCAGCGCCTCAGCCAGGTCAGGTCACCACGGGCAGCCCTGCGGTGCAGCCTGCCCAGGTCCTTCTCCTGGAGCTTGTAGGCAGCGGCGGCGGTGGCGGCAGCGCGGGGCTGCCCAGAAGGGCTGCAGGAGGGCAACTTCTGCCGCTGCTTAATGAACAGCCCCAAGACCCTCTGCATGCTGCGGAGCATGCTGCAGCGCCAGCGTGGCCCCGCTGGGAGCAACTGGTAGCACCCTGCTGCGCCCTGGGATGGGGCGAGGACAAGGGCAAGGGCTAGACGAGGAGGGGGAGGTTGAAGACCAGGACGAGGAGTAGGATGAGGGCGAGGAGGAGGATGAGGACAAGGAGTAGGACAAGGGTGAGGACAAGGAGAACGACAAGGATGAGGAGGAGGAGGTCGAGGACCAGGATGAGGAGTAGGATGAGGGTGAGGCGGAGGACAAGGACAAGGCTGAGGACGAGGACAAGGAGGAGAACGCAGATGAGGATGAGGACAAGGAGTAGGACAAGGATGAGGACGAGGACAAGGAGGAGAACGCGGATGAGGAGGAGGACAAGGAGTAGGACAAGGATGAGGACGAGGACAAGGAGGAGAACGCGGATGAGGAGGAGGACAAGGAGTAGGACAAGGATGAGGACGAGGACAAGGAGGAGAACGCGGATGAGGAGGAGGACAAGGAGTAGGACAAGGATGAGGACGAGGACAAGGAGGAGAACGCGGATGAGGAGGAGGACAAGGAGTAGGACAAGGATGAGGACGAGGACAAGGAGGAGAACGCGGATGAGGAGGAGGAGGTGGAGAAGGACGAGGAGGAGGATGAGGATGAGGACGAAGAGGATGAGGATGAGAACGAAGAGGAGGAGGAGAGGCAGAAGGGACACGCGCTGGCCCCCAACAGCCGCCACACCGGTGCTCCCGCCGCGGCCGCCACAGCTCTGAGGCGACAGCAGCGCGTCCGGTGTCCCGGCAGCGGGGACGCCTGCGGACGTCACACCCGGCGGGGCGGCGCCGCCGTGCGGCCGGGCGGGGGCGGGCGGGGGCGCAGCGGAGGCCTGCGAGGGCTCCCGGGGGCCCCGGCGGGAGCGGGCTCTGCCCCCGCCACAGGCTGCCCCCGGGCGGGGGCTCGGGCTGCTCCTGCCCGGCCGAAGGCTGGGGCGGGCGCCGGAGCGGCTCTGGCCTCACCCGCTCCCTCGGCGGGTTCTTCCCTCAGCGCGCGGCCAGGGCGCCTCAAGACACGCGTCCCTGCAGTGAGGCGGGAGGTGGGGTCGGCGCCCCGCTCGAGCAAGCTGAGGGGCCGTGGGAGCTCCCAGTAGATGCCCAGGGATCGCTCCCAGCCTGCCGTGCTGGAGCGCTGGAACGATCTGCTTGCCTCCAAGGGAAAGGAGGCCTGGATGGCCTGCAGCGTGGTGAAAACCAAGGGCCCCACGTCGCTGTGCTAGTGGCTGCTGCTCACCCTCTGCACAGTCACGGAGTGGCTAAGCTCCTCTGGGCCAAGTCCTCTGCTTGAGCAGGGTCACCTAGAGCCAGGTGTTCAGGTCCGTGTCCAGCCAGCTTTTGCGTGTCTCCACAAACCTTCCCGGGCAACCTATGTCAGTGCTCTGTCACTCTCACAGTAAAACTGTTTCCTGATGTTCAGGGGGAACCTGCCATGTTCCAGTTTGTGTCCATCTCCTCCCCTGACTGCCATGGCCTCTCAGATCATCAAGCTTGTCCACACAGTGACACTGGAGATGGACTTCAAAGTGAAGGAATTGACTGGACTTCTCTTTACTCCCTCAGCCTCCACTCCATTTTAACTGCTATCAACTCTTGTTATGCCAGATGCAAACGCTGAATTTCTGTTCTGCTGCTCCACCAGCCAAGAACTTCCAAGAACAAGTCATGTCCGAGTTTATCACAATGACAAAACAAGGTCAGGGCCAAGACATTCCACACGTGCTTTCTCTGTGGAAAAACGCTAGAAAGTACCAAAAGCTGAACTTCTCTTTGACCACTCTGATGCAGGACAGAGAAATTCTTAACACCTTTCCCTTTGCGGGCGACAAATTGGTCAGCTTCCCATGGGATCAAAACCTGTGGGGTTTGCCAGTGTGTCGTGGCTACCAGAAGCTCACCCACTACCTCTGCCCAGACCACAAGACAGATTGCTCTAAAATACAGGAAGAGTCTGGGAACTGATTATTATCACTACATCAACTCTAGTCCATGGTCCTAACACAGTTGTGCTTCAAGCCTCCCTGGAGGACACAGATGCATGCTGGCCATTTGCCTGGCATCCAGGACAGGCTGTAGGTGCAACTGTGAGCAAAGCTGAAGTGAGCAGAGGAGAGCTGTCACTCAGATTTACAGCCTTGCTTCTCTCTGACCCTCAGAGATGTCTGCATGACTGGTTTTCACTCAGACCAAGGACAGAGAGAGAGGTCTTGACTGCCTGCCTAGGCTTAATAAAGCCTGAATAAGCCTTCAAGAATATGACTCCTCATCTATACCAGCTAGGCCCAGAGAACACAAATTCTGTGAGAAAACACTGCAGTTCTCCTAAAATATCATGACAGTTCTAGCAGCCATCACCATTTTGCAGCAATCAGACGGGTCCTCATCTGTACCACATGCAAGCAGAGGGAATAAGAGTGTTCAGACATGTGAACAGGGGATGGGAGAGGCAAAGTCAGCAGGGGGAACAGAATAAAACAAAGACACATACTAGATTCCACAGTTTCTTAAGTACCAGGTTGAAACAAAATACTTGGAATTAAATGCAGGGTGTTAGCAGCACAAAACTGTTGACTTCCTGCCACCGTGGTGGCCATGGCTGCTCTTCCTCACTGCCTGGCAACTGCAGTTCCTGAATTAGTAGGTGGAAGGCAAATGTTTCGTCTCAGTATAACCACTCCTTGTTTTCTGGAACTGGGACTTCTCTGCTCCAGCATCTTCCAATCGGTAATGACATTGTCTCTTCAGCTGTGAAAAGAGGGAAAAGCAGTTGACTCATTCTACAGTAAATACCTTCTAAAAAGGAACTTAGCAACAAATCTGAGTAACGAGCAGAGAAGTAGATAAAAGGTTACACGCTACTGAAGAGCCAGAGCAACCTCAAAGGCACTTCTGGGAACTCTCCTTCTGGGTCCCCATGACAAGGGAAGGATGGGCTGAGACAGTTATTAGTGAGCAGTAAGTAACAGAAATTTTTCTGCATCAGCTCACTGCATCATGCCCTGGAAAGCAAGGACACCACTTACAAAAGCAAAACCTGAACTGCCTCCTGCTTAGCTCATGCCCAAGGAGGGGCTCAAGGAGTGATCTTGAGCAAAGACAAATTGATCAAGTTGTTCCAAGTTATGGCAGTGTTGCATCCCTATCTTCCAGAGAAGGAATTAATCTGTTGGACCTAGAAGATGCTGAGAATATCTCCCTCATCTTCTCTCCTGCCTTCCTGATCATACTTCTCTCGTTAAGATTGTTTTCTTTAATCCAAACTATTCCCCACGAAGAAGGCAAGTAGATGGTGTGTTGTTTTCACACGTTTCTTCCCATATGTGCTTTACTGTATATGTCCAGTGTGGTTTGTCAAAGTTGTAATGCTTATGTATTGAAGAGGTGGGGACTGGCTAGGTGGACCTTGATAGTTGGCTGCTGCTATTGCTACCTGGCCAGACCTGGAACACGATGAACTTTCTCTCCTCCCAAGTGTCCAAATCCACAGTAGGATACAGAAGGTGGTGAAGTATGAAAATGCACCAGCATGTGAAATTCTATCATGCTGAACAAGTCTAGCTGTAAGTGGATCAGTACAACTATGAGTGGAGAAAATAGCGAGAGACTAGAACAGTCAAGGGTTGTGATAGAACTAGTGTTTGTAAAGGGATGCTATAAGGGGCTGCCACCTCCAGCAGGTCCTGTGCCAGGAATTCCTCGTCCTCGGCTGCACAGTGGGAAGCTCAGGACTGAGCTTTTGTATTGGTACAGGGGTCAGTACAAGGAAGGTGTGATTTATGCTTGAGCGCTGTGGAGGACCAAATGTATTGATCAGCAACTAGATTCATGTAAGCTGTCTTTCCTCTGACATGCCTGTAATTGCCCTAGCATGGCCCTAGTGCAGCTGATAGTGGGGGCTTCTTCAATTTGCCTTTTATTGTGTCATTGTGCTTTGCAAGGTCTTGCAAAGGCTGTTAAACCCAAGAAGTGTTGAAAGGACATTTTATTGTGAAGAAGGCTAGTAGGTGCAAAAAGAGGATGAATGTGCTCTGTCTGTAGCACTGCACCAGATAAAATGAAGCTTACCAGTAACATGGTACTTTGTAGCCCACCTGCTGGGACGCACAAGTCCTTGCTGATGTGTAACTTGTGAGCCTTGCAGTCATTCAGCCCCCAAGGACAGCTCATTTTGTGTTCACAGAGTTGCAATGGCAGCAGGAATCACTGCCTAGCCTAGTGGTCAAAGGAGATGGTGCTGTGTAGATGGGCGAGATAGGTTGGGGAATTTGTTCCACAGTGTAGTTGGGAAAGAAATCTTACACCACCATCACTGTGGTAGTGTTTGGTGCCAGTGTTTTCCCAGGGGACCCCCAGAGGGCAGTCTGATCCCAGGTTTAGGGTGGGTGAGGTGATTTTGTGTTAGTTAAATCTCTGTCCACATCGCGTGGTGTGTCCCATAGTCACTCCACAGGACAACAAGGAGTCTTGTGGATTAAATCCTTCCAAACGGCTAGGGATTTCCTGCTGCCACCTTCTTTTGCGCAGCCAGACTTCTGAACTCTATTGAGCCCTGTTCCTCAAAGCTTCCTCATGCCTCCCTGTGGGGGCTCCAGCTGCAGTTTTGTTTTGTTTTGTGGTTGTTTTTTTGTTTTTTTTTTTTTTTGTTTTGTTTGTTTGTTTGTTTGTTTTATTTTTTTTTTTTTTTTTGGTAGCTAACTTTACAACACAACTCGATGCAGGGGGAGGTGAATAATTAGGCAGCGTTGGGACCCAATGCAGCTTTTCCAAAGGCACAGTGCGTGCTTGGACAGAGCTTTTGTGCTGCCTTTTTGCCTTCCTGCCTGTGCCGCCCGAGGAAGGAATGAACTCTCCTGCTTGGAGACCAGTAGTTGTCCTTTCAGAAACGTGTTGCTGCTTCTCGTGTGCGCTTTTTGCCATCTAGTGGCAGCAACGTATTGGTGTACCGTTTGTCTCATAATTGCACTTTCTAGACAGTTTGTCTCATAATTGCACTTTCTAGACGTGCTATAAAATTGTCTGTGCTGTAGGACTCCTCCATTAAGCAGCAAGGTGCAACTATCTCTCCATGCTACTGACTGCACTGCTGTGACGAAGGGCCAGGAGACTTAGCTGTTCCTGGAATGATCAGACTGGGGGAAATATCCACTGTCAAGTAAAACCACAAGAATACTCAAAATTGGTGCTTTTCTGAAGCTTAATGGATTTTTGAGTTATTTAAGCGAATACTCATCATGTGATCATACAGATGCCTTGTTGCTCATTTGGGGATGTATCCTGAAAGATAACATTGTGGGGCCTCTAAAATGAAAAGTCGTATTTTGATGGGAATCATTGTTCCATTGATCCCCAGCACAATTAGGTATGCTGTATCTCTGAAATGCAGCAGTTGTGTTTGGGATGCAGGTAGTTAAACCAGCTCAAGAACACTGATGTCAGGTTGCTCTAGGTGAATTTCCCTCACTGAATTACAGTCCTGCAGATCTGTAGGGATCGTAAGTGGCCATCTTCCCAAGCTTCAACCCACTTTTGAAGCAGCCTATGACTTGGAAATGAGTTTGTCTTTACTGATGGCTTGTTCTAACTCCTGCTGGTGAGGCTATGAAAAGTCTCTTTTCACATCCAGAAATTAGAGGCTTGCCATTGGTCACCCCACATCTGAAAGATGGTATGATCCCACCAGTTTTCAAGTATGATAGGAAAAATATCCATCCATCTTGCTGCTGAGGTACTGAGTCCTAAAGTAACCATGAGCAGGTTTTGGCATGGGTGGTACGTGCCAAAGGGCCATAGCAGGTATGTCCCAGGTACTTTGGGGTAGATGTTGCACACAGTAGTAGACATGACATAAGGTGTAACTATTTGTGGAGTGTTTCAGGCATGTCCTGATGTCCTGAAAAGTGACTTTGGAGTGGTCCTTTATCTAAACAGCTTTACCAGGGCAAGCCTTGGGATCAATCTTGCAGAACAACACTGAAATGGCCAAATACTCTCCAGTAGGCTATAATGTCTGAAGAGTACTATGCAGTGCGTACCTTTGGTAAGCAGGCCTTTTGACAAGGCGTTTTTTTTTTTTTTTTTTTCTCCAAGACAGGCTTTATTTCCCAAGATGTAGAAACACTGTGCAGAATACAGTCCAGTCAAGGGCAATATTGAAATTGCAGCTCACAGTAGCATTGCACTGGAGATGGTGACCTAAGGTAGATCTAGATTCCATGGTAGAATGGCTTGCTTAGCATAGTTAGATTAAGTTGCCATAGCTAGAGTTGCTCCTGTAAGCAAGTGAGCTTGTTTAGCAGTATCTTCACCACATTCACCAGGATGCCATGAGGACAGACCCTTAATTCCAGCTCGTTTGATGTGTTTCTACAGAGCTGTTTCCCCACTGATCTCTAGTGGCTCACTTCTCATGTGTGAAAGCTGCTAATTTGCTTTCTGATATGGAAACTTCACAGATGGCTACTGCCCTGATCACTACACAGTTTCCAGATGTCTAGTTGATGGATGTTTGTTTAGCAAGTATCTGTGGTGATTTAGGATGATCTTGCCTCCAGCTACTTGCTGTTGCCTTCCACTCAGAAGGAAAGAGGTTGCCTTTCACCTCTGTGGTACATGTAATCATTCCCTGATGGGCTTTCCCTTCTAAAGTGATCAACTGGATTCTGCCTGA